GTCAGCAGTAGTACCATAGAACACAAGGAAATAGAGGGGAAGACATCACTGGTCCACTCAACTCTGCTGCCTCCTGGTGATCATAGGATAGTTTGGTTTGGAAGGGACCTTTAAAGGTCACCTAGTCCAACCCAAGTCCAACCCATTCACCTAGTCCAACCCAAGTCTAAGCCATTTACCTAGTCCAAACCAAGTCCAGCTCTTCCACCTAGTCGAGCCCATTCACCTAGTCCAACCCAAATTCAGCCCATTCACGTAGTCCAACCCAAGCCCAGCCCATTCATCCAGTCCAACCCATCCAGCCCTGGATGCATTTGTAGAATCCAATGGATTGAAAAACTCCTCCCATTTTTAATGAGGGAGGTGTCAGTCTGTGAGGGTGACATGTCACCCCCAGTGTCAGCACTGCCAGCTAATCCTAGCTGGAGCAGGACCTGCTAATGCAGTGCTTAATCTGCTGGTGACAACCTGTGATTTTATTCCCTGCAGATCCCAGTGAAGCTAATTGAAATGGATTTGAACTCATGTTTGCCATGGTAGGTTGGGTTTGGAGATTTGCTCATAATACTGAGACAGACACACAGAACCAACAGTACCAAGCCAGTAGAATTTAAATATTAGCATTACAAAAGTGCTAATTTTTGTCTGTATTCAGCTTTGTCTCTTTAAACATCAATTTTTTTAACCAGGTAATGTATTTTCCTCTATAAATCCTGTGTGTAGTCCAGGAATTCTTGTGCTCACCTGAGCAACTGGCCTGTGCCACAGCAAAAATCATCATCTCTTGTCTGTCTGCTGCAGAATTTGTCCCACACGTGCTCTGTGCTGACCTTCTGTTACATGAAAATCAAAGCAAATGTAATAACTTGTCCACCTGAATTACTCACAAAGTGCCTAAGCAAGTAAGACAGTCTATCAAGCTTGATTATTCCAAGTGCAAATTATTTTATTGAGTTAATTGCTGCTTTGCTCACTTAGTCTCTTACCTGTGATGATTCTCGTTGGTAATTTTTAAATCTAATTCTTTCCATCTCCTTTAAATGCTTTTTATTGTGAGGGTTCACATAGAATGCATGAGGAATTTGTACCGTCCTATCACTCCAGACCCTTGTCCAAAGTCCCTCTGCCTCTCTCTTGGAGCCCCTTTATATACTCAGAGTGACCAGCAGTGTTTGGGAGCTTATGGGTGAAAAGCAGGAAGAGAAAATGAAAGGCAGAGCAAAGGGAGAGGATGATTCTATCACTCTTCCCTTTTTTATCTCTTTTTGCTGTTTTTTATTATTAAACCATCAATTGTTTTGGGTAGCACTTGTTCCTGGTGTGGCCAACACCACAGGTGCCAACACATTTGTCACCCTATGGTGACAATGCTTTCCTGGCTCTCATTATTTATTCATTTCTCTGAATTGATGGTGCTTATCCTTGAGAATATTAGTTCTTTAGCACTAAAAAATCTAGGGCATGACCTGAGCTACAGGATTCTAAAGCCTGAGGGGGGAAAAAACCCAAATCCCAACTGTGTCTCCACCTTCCTCTGTGTTCAGTGGGATGTGTCACTGGTTTGTTCCTGCTTTAGGAGGACACACGGGACAGGGATCAGTTTCACCTGCTCCTGTGCAGGTTGTGCACAGCTTGTGCAGCAGATTCCTTGGAAGAAGTTACACAGCTGCAGCAGTGCCACGTGGCATGATGAAGGCTTTAGTGGCCTATTTTCTCAAGGCCCAAGTTTGGAGCTGTCAGGTCAGATGAGGATTCAGCTCTGTGGCCAAACTAGAAATTAGCCATGTGGAGTAATCCATTAATCCCTGAAAATAGAGCTGTTTCCTCACATTTTGGGGAGCTGTGACGTCTCCTGGGGCTGTGAGGGAAGTGGTGGCAGTGATTCCTGATGCTGGGAAGAGCTCTACAGAGGTGTCACATGCTTCCCTAATTTCTGAGCTCATCCCTATTGAATTGCAGTTAGATTCCAGGTGCTTTGCCTCCTTGGCCACAGCATCTCTGGCTGCCCCATCCCTTGAAGTGTTCCAGGTCAGGTTGGATGGGGCTTGGAGCAACCTGTGCTAATGGAACATGTCTCTGCCCATGGCGGGAGTTGATCTTGAAGGTCCTTTCCAACCCAAACCAGATGATTCCATGATTTTTGGCAGGATTTGCGTTACCTGTGCAATTTGACACTGATATTATTTTGGTCATAGTGTCAAGCTCTTTATTGGACATGGAAGTGTTTATCTATAAGAATT